TTTCCTTCGCTGATTCGCTGCGTCACTTTGACGCCACGTCGAGGAGAGGGAGGAGGAGGAGGAGGAGGAGAGGGAGGACAGCGTCTTGATTGGGGGGGCGGTGCTGGGGCGCCACGTAGCGAGAAACGGAGAATCGAGGAGGAGGAGGAGGAGGAGGAGGAGGAGGAGGAGTGGGGAATGTTGATGGTAGGTGGAGGAGGAGAAGAAGGGTTGGACACGTGGCTACAGAGGAAGATGTTCAACGAGAAGAGGAGGGGGAGGACCAAAGAAGCAGGAGGAGGAGGAGGGTTCGAAACGGAAGGTGGTCCAGGATGGGGAGGAGGAGGAGGAGCACAGTAGGATGAGGAGGAAGGGAGAAGGAGATTTTTTTTTTTTTTTTTTTTTTTTTTTTTTTTTTGCTTATTCGCTGCGTCACTTCAACGGCACGTGGCGAGAAAGGGGGATTGGGGCTGGGGCGCCACGTGGGTATTGGAGGAGGGGGAGAGGGAGGACAGCATCTTGATTGGGGGGGCGGTGCTGGGGCACCACGTGGCGAGAAAGGGAGAAGCGAAGAGGAGGAGGAGGAGGAGGAGGAGGAGGAGCAAAGAAGAGGATGAGGAGGAGGAGCAAAGAAGAGGAGGAGGAGGAGGAGGAGGAGGACGAGGACGGGATCTTGATGGTAGGTGGTGGAGGAGGGGGAGATCAGATCTGATCTGATCACGTCAGATCAGATCCGATCAGATCGGATCGGATGAGATCGGATCTGATCAGATCTGATCTGATCTGACTTGATCAGATTTGATCAGATTACATCGGACCTGATCAGATCTGTTCTGATCAGACCAGATCCGATCTGATCTAATCAGATCATATCCGATCTGATCTGATCAGATCAGATCCGATCTGATTTGATCTGATCAGAGATTCAGAACAGATCTGATCTGATCTGATGTGAGCAGATCAGATCTGATCATGTCATCCCAGATCAGATCTGATCTGTTGTGATCAGACCAGATCTGATCTGTTCTGATCAGCAAAGGAGGAGAAGGAGGTGAGGGGAAGTAGACCTTTTTTTTTTTTTTTTTTTTTTTTTTTTTTTTTTTTTTGAAGTCCGTAACTTCGCTGCTCAGATCTGTTCTGATCTGATCTGATCTGATCTGATCAGAACAGATCTGATCTGATCTTATCAGAACAGATCTGATCTGATCTGACGTGATCAGATCAGATCTGATCGTGTCATCCGAGATCAGATCTGATCTGTTTGATCAAGATCAAATCAAATCAGTCCACCTCGTCCTTACCATCGTCGTGCCTTTTTTTCCTTCATGTTGTGGCAATGGATCGGTGATATCTGTTATAAATACGGTGAGCTTTCCGTTTTGTGATCCGCACTTGCAGCACCATCTTCCAGCTGGAGGCGTACGGTCTGCTGTGCCCCCAACAGTCGTACCGTTTCTTAATACTGCACTCCTTCCTTTTTCTCTCTCCTTCTTCTTTCTCTATCTTCTTTCTTCTTCTTCGTTCTTCTTCTTCTTCGTTCTTCTTCTTCTTCATTCTTCTTCTTCTTCGTCTATCTTCTTCTTCGTCTATCTTCTTTGTTCATCATGGTGGCACCAGGCGAGAGCAGCAGCAGTGCAGACAAGGACAAAGTGAAGGCAGGTGCACCCAAAGATAAGCCACCATTCGAGGCCCAACCAGATGAAAGCAGGAGGCGTTGCAGAAGGAGAACATCGTGTACAAGTGGATAGTGCGGGGGCAGGCAGCAGAGCCAAAAGGGTACGGCCAGTATTGGGTCCGCTGCAAGCTCTGCCACCAGCAGTTCACTGCGTCCTCCACCCGAGCGATGGAACACTTCCTGCGGAAGGGGAAGCCTTGTCCATACAGGAACGGGGAGATCCTGCATCTCCTRGCACTRAGGGGAGGGAAGATTGAGGGGGAGGCTGCAAAGAAGATGGTCCATCAGTATCGTGTACAGAAAGGGATTGCAGAGGATACAGGGATGGAGCCGACTGGTGCATTGGCGACAGGCAAATCAGATGAGATGGAAGAGCTTCTCAGGCCGCCGCCTGCGCCTGGGAGAGAAGTGCGGGTTGAAGGGCAAGCAGCGGTAGGAGCCCCTGTGGAGGACACACAAGACAAAATAGTCCGTCCAACAGCGGGGCCCTCCTTCCAAGCCTCCACATCCGGGTCAAAGTCCACGAGAACCACACAGACCTCGATCCGGAAGTGGGCCGAGAACGCAGCCCAGAAGAGGTTGGACACCCAATGGGGGAGGGCGTTGTTCAGGTCCGGGGTCCCTTTCAATTTCGTCAGACAAGATGAGACGCGCGCCCTCCATAACCTGTACATGGAATTGGGGGCCACCAAGGCGAAGGTGGACATGCCGATGTTCGAGACAGTCCGCACCGCCATATTGGATCTTGTGTATGACCAGGTGAAGGAGGAAGTGCGACCCGTGATGGACAAGTGGGACATTTCAGGCTGCACACTCATCACGGACGACACTACTGATCGAAGGTGGAGACCCGTCATCAATTTCATAGGCGCCGGGGAAGGAGGAGCAGTGCTGATCAAGGTGGTTGACATGAGCCATAGGAAGACGAATGCGGCTGCCATTGCCAAGTTATGGGAGAAGGTAATCCGGGAGATCGGGGTCCATAGGGTGAATGTTATCTGCACGGACAACGCACAAGTGTACAAATGGGCAGCAAGGATCCTATCTCTTTGCAAGGATCCATACATTGCAAGGATCCCCTGGGTCCCCTGTGCTGCACACACCTTGAGTTTGCTGCTGAAGGGTATCGAAAAACTCCCGTGGGTTGCTACGATTGTGAAGAGGGCGAAGATGATGGTGAAGTTCATCAGGAACCACCATCGCACAGTGGCTTTGTTCTCAGCATGTTCATTGGAGGAAACGAAGACCCTCATCATGCCCACAGAAGTTAGGTTCACCTCAACGTATCAAGTGCTTGAGAGGCTGTGTCACAGGGATTGGGTGTTGAAGGAGATGATGGAGAGGGGTTGGAACAACATCCATTGGAGCACAAGGAAGCTCCGTCGAAAGGCGGAACGGATATTCCTCAAGGTCCGTTCCGACGAATGGTGGATCGAGTTGTAGCGAATAATTAGTGTCATGCGGCCTGTGAACGAGTTGCTGCGTAGGATGGACCGCGACGGCGTTGCACCCTCACAATTGTGCGGGTTTGGGGAGCTTTTGGAGAAGCGGTTGCGCACGATCTTCCGCCTCACGGAGGAGCAGCGACAGGACGTCATGGCGATTGTTCATGATCGATGCAAGATGATGAGGCAGCCTGCGCATGCTGCTAACTTCTTGCTGGCGCCGAACAGGAGGGACCCTCGCTGGGTGTTGGACAAGGACAATCCTTTGGTGCAAAATGCCATCAAGTACTTCGTGACGCAGCTCAGAGGGGAGAGGTGGGGGTCGGAGCAGTCCCACGTTAACATGTGACAAAGCTTGTGGGTGTTTCATTGTGAGCCTCCGACGAAGGAGGAGCATGCAAAGGAGCCCATGTGGGATGGCTTTGGCGTTGCAGACAACTGTCTTGATCGTAAGACAACATCTCAATGGTGGGCTTCATATGGTGG